ATCCTCCTGCCTCAGCCTCCCAAGTGGCGGGGACTATAAATATGCACTACCGTGCTCGGCTAATTTTTCTATTTTTGCTAGAGACGGGGGTCTTGCTCTTGCTCAGTCTGGTGTAAAACTCCTGACCGCAAGCAATCCTCCCTCCTCGACCTCCCAGAGTGTTAGAATTATAGGCATGAGCCACCACTCCCTGCCAAAAAATGTCCTTATTTTCCTAATGTCAAAATCTTGAGAACCTTAAAATCATATCAGTGTAGATGTTAACTCTTCAGTCCCTAGCCTGTGCCTAACTCGAGTGCAGTGAGCCTCTGGCAACAGAATCAGACTGTTATAAGAAAACACTTAGAAGTGACAGAATATTAATACCAAGAATATCTTGACTATTCTAAATATGTATGCCAGCACCCAACCAATGTCATAATAAACTTATCATTAGGGCTTAATATCAGTCGAATTAGGAAAAGACACATTTAGAGTCAGAACATTACCGGGCAGTCATGACAGCCATCCTTACTGGGATGTGGGTGGCTGGTTTGGGGTTGAGTAGATAGTGAACAAGTCGTAGACGTCATGATTCGCTCAGCCATGACCAATGTGACGGGTGAACGTTTACCTTAATGTTGTTTGAATTTATAAATTCCTTTTACGATTTATTTTGTTTATGTATTGGTCAGTTTTGCCGCTGCAACAAACAACCCTGAAATCTCACTGGTTTACAACAAATGTTTCTTTCTCCCCCAGTGACATGCCAGTGGCTGTGTCTGCCATGGCTCTGGCTCCAGGAAGGGGCAGCTCCGACCTGCTCCCTGCTGTTCTCGTGGCACAGGGAAAACAAAGAGAAAGGGCAACTCCTTCTAAGGCCTCTTTACATCCAACTCTACATCCGATAGAACGCACCCATTCTAAGTGTGCCACTCACCCCGTCTGGACAAATATTTCCACCTGTTTAACCCTAACTTCCAATCAAGATATAGAGCATTTTCCCTGCCCCAGAAAGTTCCTTCATGGATCTGATGTCTGTTCCTATAAAGTGATTTTGCCTGTTCTAGGACTTCATTTAAATGAAATTTAAGCTCTGAGATGATCCAGGTGTCAGAATTGGTGGCAAGGGTTTTAAAGCACTTGTTTTCAATGTTTAATTTGTCATACAGGCCAGGTGCAGTGGCTCATGGCTGTAATCCTAGCACTTTGGGAGGCTGGGGCCAGAGGATTGCTTGAGGCTAGGAGTTCAAGACCAGCCTGAGTAACATAAGGGGAGATGCCACTCTACAAAAATAGAAAAATCAGCCAGGCATGGTGGCGAATACCTGTAGTCCCAGCTACTCGGGAGGCTGAGGCAGAAGGACCCCTTGAGTCCAGGAGTTTGAGGTTGCAGTGAGCTAGGCTGATGCCATTACACTCTAGCTGGGGTGACAGAGTGAGACTGTGTCTCAAAAATAATAATAATTAGTTATATATCGCTGCATAACAAATGAACACAAACTTGGCAGCTTAGAGCAACACACGTTTGTGGTCTCCTAAATTCTGTGGATCCGGACTCTGGGGGTGACTTAGCTGGGTCCTTTGCTTAGTGTCTCACAAGGGTGTGGCCGAGGTGTCCGTCAGGCCACGTTCTCAACTGGGGGCTTGAGGGGAAGGAATCTGCTTCCGCACCTGCTCAGGTTGTCAGCAGAGCTTATGTCCTTGTGGATGTGGGATGGAACTGGCTGTTGGGGGCTGCGCTCAGCAATCTGCCCCGGGAGCCTCCCAGCAGGGCCACTCGCTCCTGCGCAGCCAGCTGGGGAGAGAAGTCTCTGGAGTGAGTCTGCTAACAAGAGTCACACGGCATAATCTCATCGCAGAAGCAACATGCCAGGATGACACTTGGCCATTCTCATTGAGAAGCAAGTCACTGTTTCTTCCCACACTCAAAAGGACGGACTCGTATTGTACCAGGGCATGGAGCCCAGCAGGTGGGCACCACGGGGCTCCTTTAGAGCCCGTCTGCCACGAATGATGGTAACCGTTCGTAAGAATGTAAAGGAAAATGTGCTCGTGATGAATGAAAATATATGAGCTTTCATATGAGAAATATAAACTATAGAAAAAGACCCAGTGGAAATTCTGGGACTGAAAAATAACAACGTCTGGAATAAAAACTAGGTGGGCTTCAAAGCAGATTAGAGAGGAAGGAATTCAAAAGATTCAGATCAGTGGATTTGAAGCAGAGCCTTTCAGGAAGGACCCGGAACGGCCACCCGGCCACCGACACCTGTTGCGTTCCAGGTGCCTAAGCTCTGTCTTCCGCCGCCTGCGATGCGGCCACAGAGCCACCCCCGCCCCTTGCGGAACATCTGCAGCTTTATTTTTAGATGTTGCTGCTGTTGTTTTGAAGTTTAAATGTTGTCATAGTTCTTTCTTTCTTTCTTTCTTTCTTTCTTTCTTTCTTTCTTTCTTTCTTTCTTTCTTTCTTTCTTTCTTTCTTTCCTTCCTTCTTTCTTTTGAGACGGAGTCTCACTTGGTTGCTGGGCTAGAGTGAGCATCATGGCATCAGCCTAGCTCACAGCAACCTCAAACTTCTGGGCTCAGGTGATCCTCCTGCCTCAGCCTCCTAAGGAGCTGGGACTACAGGCATGCGCCACCATGCCTGGCTAATTTTTTCTATATATATTAGTTGGCCAATTAATTTCTTTCTATTTATAGTAGAGACGGGGTCTCGCTCTTGCTCAGGCTGGTTTCGAACTCCTGACCTCGAGCAGCCGCCCGCCTCGGCCTCCCAGAGAGCTAGGATTACAGGCGTGAGCCACCGCGCCCGGTCTGTTTTTGTGAATATAGTCAACCTGGCAACTAATACCTTTGGTCAAAACGCCTTTTCTTCTGTATGTACGATGGGACAGACCCTGACTGGTGACACGAAGGGAATAACTTTTACAAAGGGAGACCTGCCAGCTCCAGCAGGGCCGGTCCCCTGGCGCTGTGACTGCCAAGGTCCCCAGGCCCGGCTGGCCTGGCGCAGAACGGCACCTTCTTGCTGTGGCTTCGATTTGCATTTACTCAATCGCCGAGGCTGCACATTTCTCAGTGAGTCAATTAACCCAATTAGTTTCCACTTTGGCCTCCTTGTCCGTGACCTTCACCCATGTCACCCTGAGGAGGTCAGTGGTTCCCCATCGGTTTCCTGAGCTCTGTGGGTGCCGCATTGCCAGTACTCTGCCCGGTCAGTCTCCTGCAAATGGCTTTCCCATCGTTTGCCTTCTTGCTTTGGAACTGATGTCACCGGTGTAGTTTAACTTGAGGGCCACAGCTCTTTTCTTTTGTGCTGTCTCCCATGACGTCCAACCTTAGAAAACTCTCATCTTTCCCAAAGGTTGATAAATGTCCAATACTTTTTTTTTTTTTTGGAAAGATTGATTTTTTAAAAACACAAAAACCATTGTGGACTTCAGTCCCCTCCTCATGTGTTTGGCGGGCGGTGTGAGGAGGGACCAGCTCCCGGGCTCCAGCCCTGGGCACAGCAGGCTGGGCCGTGTGCTGGGTGAGGCCCCCCGCTGCTCCAGTCACTAAAGTCCCCGTCTTTGGTTCCCCAGGACTCCAGCTTCCCTGGTGCCCTCACTTTCTGAGGCGAATCCTGGCCTTTGTAGCTTGCTTGGCTTTGAGGCAGAGCTACCTTTTTAAAAAAATGTGGGGTGGAGGGCAGAGAAACCTGCCCAGGAGGGAGTAGCCCCAAAGCTCTGGAGCCGCCTCTGAGATTCAGAGAATCGGGGTAGGATGCCTGCATAGCCTGGACCTTGGGAAACGCTTCCCACTGTTTATAATTAGACATTTATCCTTAAAGCAGCAGTCCCAAAACTTTTTTGGCACCAGGGCACAATTTTTCCAGGCGGAGGAGGGTAGAGGGGGGGAGTTGTGTGTCCTTAACAGGCCGCAGACCCGCACCGGGGCCTGGGGACCCACAGCCTTCGAGTGTGTCACCCCAGGGCTGAGGTCTGCCTCGCCCACCCGTGTTCCCCGCCCGACAGCGCTGGCACCGGGTGTGCGCAGACAGCACCTGCGCACGAGGGAGGCGTGAGTCCCTCCCCCTCGGCTCCTCCGTCCCTCCTTCCCTCCAGCCCCCAGGGCCCCGCACCCCACGGCCCACGGAACCCAGGGCGGGCAGGAGCTGGGGGGCCGCTGGCACCTGGAGCCCTTACCTGGGGGAGGCGGCCCGGCCTGTTGAGGGGGCTGAGAGTGGAGACCCAGAGGGGGCAGGTCCTACTCCCTGGGGTCCCCACTGCTTTGAGGCATCCCGAGCTCCAGGTCTGAGTGCAGGTCGTGTGTGGGGGGAAACCGAGGCAGGGGCTGGTCTGCCATCCACCGCCCCCACGCCCAGCCCAGGTGGCTCTGACGTCAGCCCTGCGTCCTGGACAACATGCTCCCGGTGCTGCCGTCAGGGCGGGACTCGGGGCCTTCCGGGAGCTGCCTCCGGCCCGTGCTGGGAAGCCCCCCACCCGCCCCACTGGGACAGGGCGGCGCCTTCAGGGACCAGAGTCCTGGGAGGAGGGACCCCTGCCCACCACCGATTCCTCCCTTGCTTGTCCTGCCCCAAGCCTGACCCCGTGCTGGATGAATCAACAAACCAATGAATGGGCAGGGAGGGTCCCCCAGGGGTGGGGGGGCCTGTGGTCAGCTCATGTGGGCCCGTTGGGGTGTCTGTGGTCACTCATGTGGGGAACGGGGGCAGCCCCAGGCCACAAGCACCCGGAGGGACGGGCACGCCCCGCACCAGCACCCTGTGGCATGTTGGGGTGAGGGGCCTGCCTCGTGGACTTTGGGGGTTCAGGGCCAGGTCACGGAGCAGCCGGGTTCTGGGGTGCCTCCTTCCTGGGGAGCAGAGCTGGCCAGGCCGGGCCGACAGGTTGGGCGGCATCGCGGGGCCGGTGCTCACCTCTGGCATAAAACCCACTTCATGGAGCCGGGCAGCGCCAGTGCTCTGGAGCTCGCGCCGCCGACCAAGGCCCCGCGCCCCAGCCAGGCCCGAGGACATGAGGCGGCCCCTGGCGGCGGAGCTGCTGCTGCTGCTGCTGCTGCTGCTGCTGCTGCTGCTGCAGCTGCGGTCTGGTGAGTCTGGTCGGGAAGGCGCAGGGAGTGGCTCGTGCCTTGCGAGGCCTCCTGCGCTGCCGGGCCGAGCCCCCACTCCCTGGGCTGCAGGACGGCCCCCGCTGCCCGCCCCAACTGTGCCGTCCCCAGGCTAGGCAGGAAGGTCCTGGATGTGCCACCTGGGGAACCAAAGCAGGGAGGCCAGGACGGGGAGTGTGGGCATAGGCCTGAGGGGACCTGGGGGCCGGGACTGGCAGGGGCCTCCTCCCTGCCTTTCCTTGGGCTCATGCAGGGTGCTCAGCTCAGGGCCTGCTCCCTGGTGTCCTCGTCTCAGCCTGTCTCCCCACTGCCCAGATGGAGACACGGGGCTCCAAATCCCGGGGCTGCTGTAGCTGGGGGCTCAGCAGGGCGGGGCGCGGGGTGCCGGCTGCAGAGGGCCCCCTCCCGCTGACAGAGGAGCAGGCGGTGCCCACAGTGCCCTCTCCCTGTCCTGGGTCACAGCCAGCAGGTGCCAGCCCCTCCCTGCGGGGCGGGCCACTCTCTGCCAGGGAAACCCTCCCGCATTCCTGGGCCAGCCCGGCCAGCCTGGCAGCCACCACACTTCCCTGTCCTCAAGTCACCTCCCAGGGCTGGGCCGGGTCACCCCAGATGGCAGCTCGGCCAGGGCTCTGTGCTTCCTTGTTCTCTGGGCTAGGAGGGCACCAGGGTGGCACCTCTGGGGGAGGGGGCCTCCCACTCCTGGCCTCTGGCACAAGGACAATGGCATCATTGAGGGCAGCCCCTCTCCACGGGGCTGTAGGGCAGCAATTGCTCCCCATGGGTTGAGTAATCACGGTCATTGCCAAAGTGGAAAAGTGGCTGCATTTGGCTCACAGTCCATGGTGACCAGAGGCTGGACTCCCAGATGCCACCTTCTCCCCCAGCCAGAGGGGCCCAGACCCCACCAGGTCCCTGGCTAGTGCTGCCTGGGACTTTAGGCCTCCCCCAGCCCCACCGGCCATGGGGATGTCAGGGGCCTGACCCACCGGTGGTCTTGCCAAGCTCTCGACAGGACACCTGAAGAGCCCAGCTCCCCACATCACCCCTTCCTAGCCAGCCCCCGACAACCACTCTCCCGGGACTCAAGCCCCACATGTGGGCTCTGCCCTCACGGCCCTCCTGGGCCCAGAAGTGGGATGAGACGCCGACTTTAACTCCAGGCTGAGGTGGGCAGAGCTCTGGGCGGCCTGCTGGGAGGACAGAGAGGTCAGGCGGCTTCCAAGATGGACAGTGCATGCAAGGAGGGCTTCCCGGAAGAGATGGCACTTTAGTTAGGCCTTGATCTCTAGATGGAGGTTCGGACTTGTAGAGACTGGGAGGAAAGCACATCCGGGTGTGGAGTGGGGACAGGGAACACTCAGAGGCGAGGCCGGGGCTACACAAGCAGCAGCGGGTGGCACTAGGCAGGGGAGGTCTGCGAGGGAGGAGGGGGCAGGGAGGACGAGAACTAGGCTCCTGCACTCTCCCGGGGTGGAGGGGGAGAGCCTCACAGCAGCGAGGACAGAGGTGGCGGATGGGCCTGCACTTGCAGGCAGCATCACCAGGCCTGAGCAAGAGCAAGAGGTCAGGTGCTGGGAACCTGAATTGCTTTGGGGACCAGGGGCGATGATCCCCCCCGGGGGCATCTGCACCCTAAACAGGCCCCGCATGGACACGAAGGAATGAGCAGTGTCCGGGGCAGACTTCCCGCTGGCCCCTGCTGTCAGCGGCTGCCTGCTCCTCCTGCCCCCTCCAGGGACCCCACCCTTCGCGTCCTCACCCGCCATGTGCCCCTCAGCCGGGGCTCTTGCAGCAAGAATGAGGATCCTGTAAAAATCCTCAGGGTCAGGCCGGGCGAGGTGGCTCACGCCTGTAATCCTAGCACTCTGGGAGGCCGAGGCAAGAGGATTGCTCAAGGTCAGGAGTTAGTTTGAAACCAGCCTGAGCAAGAGTGAGACCCCATCTCTACTATAAATAGAAAGTAATTGGCCAACTAAAAATATATAGAAAAAATCAGCCGGGCATGGTGGCGCATGCCTGTAGTCCCAGCTACTTGGGAGGCTGAGGCAGGAGGATCGCTTGAGCCCAGAAGTTTGAGGTTGCTGTGAGCTAGGCTGATGCCACGGCACTCTAGCCTGGGCGACAGAGTGAGACTCTGTCTCAAAAATAAAAAATCCTCTGGGTCCTTGGACACCCCACGGCCACTTCCTGTCCCCATGGCCCCTCGACTCCATGGCATTGGTAGCCTTTTCTGGTCAGAGTGTCAGAGTGAAGACTTGGTCCATAGGAGGTTTCTTGACCTCTGGGCCCCGGAGAGAGACTGGGGCTAAGGGTGGAGAGGTGGCTGCTCTAGTCCTCCGCCCCAGACCTGCCCCCAGGACCCACATGTGCTGGGCGTGGGACGCCGGGAGGTCTCCTTCATCTCCGGGGTGGTGCTGACCCTGGGCTGGGGCTGGGGGCTGCCTCCCTGGCGGGGGTCTCCGCCTGGGCCAGAGGTCCCAGCACTTGGTAAAGGCCACGTCACAAGCCTCGCCCTGTGTCCAGAGGTGTGGGGACAATGGATCCCAGTTCCCGGTTTCCACAGAATGGCCCTAGTCCTCATTTCTCTGCCTGTCCCCTTCCCCTGGAGGATGAGGCACATGTGGCCCAGCAGGGGTCTTGCTGGCATGCCCGAGACAGAGAGTCCTGGAGGGCTGGCCCTTGGTGGCCACTGGGTCAGCTTCTCTACTCCCCTGAGACCAGGGTGGAGCCCTCAGGGCCGGGGCTGGAGGCTCGGAGCAGAAGCGAGTGAGACTCGGGAGAACTGGAGGGGACGTGCTCCCTCTGGCACAGACCACGAGGAAGCCCCGGGAGGCAGCTCCTGGGCTCTTGTGACCCGGCTCCCAGCTGTTCCAGGGAGAAAGGGAGACCCCACGGTGCCGAGGCTGGAGGCCAGACCCTCCCCTGAAGCTTCCAGACAGGGATGGGTGTGGGGTGTTGAGGGAGAGGCCCTTGCAAGGATGAGAAGGGGACATCAGGCCACAGGGTCCCTTCAGTGCAATCTCCTGATCCGGATCCGCTCCCTGTGGGGCGAGGAGATTGTCTGCCCTTGCAGGTCAGCTCTGCCCCACAGGCCTGGGCCTGCAACACTGCAGAGCCAGGCCTGGTGGGAAGGAAGACCCCTGGCCCCTCCTCCGGGGTCCCCCTGCAGGCCGTCCCTCCTGAGCCCGGAGGAGGTGGGGGAGGTGGGGGAGCAGGGTGGGAAGGAGCAGGCCTTGGCAGTCGGCTGATCACCCCTTTCTCACTTCCAGGGACGCAGGGGGCCAAGGTGTCCAGAGGTAAGCATCCCAGGCCCTTGGGTGGGAAGGACAGGTGCCAACTTGACTGAGAGCTGCAAGATGGGCCAGGGACGCACACATGCCCAGAAGGGACAATGGATGTGCAGGGAGCATTCCTAACGTTTCCTGACACAAAGTTGGGAGAGGCTGTGGCTCTGCAGAACTGGCGCCCGGAAGGAGGATGGTCTGACCTGCACTGAGGTGTGGGGGCCGGGGACAGGGTCTGGAGACCATCCCCAACAATGACTGTCCCCTCTGGGTCGCCTGCCTCTCGAGGGCGTGATACCCCAGCCACCGCCTGTTCTGTGCCAGGCCCCAGGACAGCGTGTCATCCCAACCCCCCGGGGCCCCCAGAGGTGGGACTTATGCCGCCTTCCCTGTGCGGGGACAGCCGGCTCCCGGGGACTGTAGCAGCCTGCAGGGTCTGCCTGCCCAGATGCTACGCCACTCGAGGGCCCCCTCGGGCAGCGGGCGGGGGGCCGAGCATCGACCAGAAAGGAGAAACTGGAGCGTGGGACTGGGGGGAGCAGAGCAGGGAGCCCCAGCGAGCGCCCACCCCGTTGTGTCCCCCCAGCCTGCGGGCGCCCGCAGAGGCTGACCCGGATGGTGGGCGGGCAGGACGCCCTGGAGGGCGAGTGGCCCTGGCAGGTCAGCATCCAGCACAACGGGAGCCACTTCTGCGGGGGCAGCCTCATCACGGAGCGGTGGGTCCTCACCGCGGCGCACTGCTTCTCCAAGTGAGTCCCTGCGCCCCGCGCCCGCCGCTTCAGCACCGCGGACAGCGCCGCCCGCCCGGCCGCCTGCAGGGCCCTGGCCGCCTTCCCAGGCCCATGCTCCCTTTAGGTCCCGCGCCAGGGCTGACTTCCAGCTGTGGTTGCTGCCCCCAGCCCTTCCTCCCGCCAGCCTGGCTGCTGGTCTTGCCAAGGAGGCACTTGGCCACGCCTGGGGCCCTGTGCCAGGAATGCTGGCAGACTCCTCCCTCACTCTGGCCTCCCCATCGCAAATCCAGGACACTCTGCCTGGCTGGGACTGTAGCAGAATGTCCCTTCCTCCAAGGTCAGCGGTGCAATCAATCCCTGAGCAAAGGGCCAGGTCACCCGGTCCACAGCACGCTGGCCCGGACCTGCAGGGCTTCCCAAGCATCCCTCCTCCTCGAAGCTCTGATGCTTATAAACCCACATCTCAGATTCAGGAGCTCAGGCTCAGGGAGCAGGTCACCTGCCCCCGAGAGGCCGGGCTGGGCCTCACACACCCAGAGTGTGGGGTCCTCCCCTTCACCTCTCGCAGCAAGCCTTTCAGGTAGGGACTGTTACTGTCCCCATGTTACAGATGAGGAAGCTGAGTCACAGAAAACTTGTTCAGTGACTTGCACAAGGTCACCCAGGGGCCAAGGGTGGAGAGAGCATCAAGGCCAGGTGGCCTGGCCTCAGTTTCTACACCCTGAGCCGCTGCGCCCCACTGCAGGGCGCTGCCTTGGAGACAGTGTGCAGAGGGGGTGCCATGCACTGCAGTGGGCCAAGGAGCACCCCGGCCCTCCCAGCCCCCTTCTCCACGCGGGGAGGGGACGCCCGGCCAACTCTCCACTCTCCCCCTCCAGCACCTCTGAAACATCGCTGTACCAGGTCCTGCTGGGGGCGCGGCAGCTGGTGCGGCCAGGGCCACACGCCGTGCTCGCCCGGGTGAAGCGGGTGGAGAGCAACCCCCTGTACCAGGGCATGGCCTCCAGTGCCGACGTGGCCCTGGTGGAGCTCGAGGCACCAGTGACGTTCACCAACTACATCCTGCCCGTGTGCGTGCCCGACCCCTCCGTCAGCTTTGAGACGGGCACAAACTGCTGGGTCACGGGCTGGGGCAGCCCCAGTGAGCAAGGTGAGCAAGCGGGGTGGCCCCGGGACAAGGGGGCACATGCCGAGAGAGGGCGCCTACACAAGATCTCTGCTCACACGAGTGGGTGTGGGCAGCAGACCCAGAAAGCCGAGCCCAGAGAAGTGGAGGGAAGGGGCAGAAAGCCCCGCCTGGTGCTTAGAAAGAGGGAGGAAGTGGGTCCGAGCCCTGAGCCAGGAGAGAAGATCTAACCACCAGCACGAGATGGGCAGGGAAAGGCTGGGTGCACTGGCTCATGCCTGCAATCCCAGCACTTTGGGAGGCCGAGGTGGGAAGATCACCTGAGGCCAAGAGTTCAAGGCCAGCCTGGACAATATAGTGAACTCCTGTCTCTACAAAAATAGAAAAACTAGCTGGGCGTGGTGGCACACATCTGTAGTCCCAGCTACTTGGGAGGCTGAGGCAGGAGGATCACTTGAGCCCAGGAGTCTGAGGATACTGTGAGCTGTGATGATGCCACTGCACTGTAGCCCAGGAGACTGAGCAAGACCCTGTTTCGGGGAAAAAAAAAGAAAGAAAAGAGAAAGATGGGGAGGGACAGAGCACAGGCTACCAAGACCCCAGGGCCGTGGGCCTCACCGAGACCCCGCTGAGCTGCAGGCCGCTCCCCCCGCAGACAACCTGCCCAACCCCCGGATCCTGCAGAAGCTGGCCGTGCCCATCATCGACACGCCCAAGTGCAACCTGCTCTACAGCAAGGACGCCGAGTCTGGCTTCCAGCCCAAAACCATTAAGGACGACATGGTCTGTGCCGGCTTCGCCGAGGGCAAGAAGGATGCCTGCAAGGTAGGGGCCGCCGTGGCCGAGGGACTTGGTCCCGGTCCAGGTGGGCGTCCAATCGGCTGGGAAACTTGTTTTGAAAATCGGATTCCTGGGACGCCAGGAGAGTGCGAGTCAGTGGGTCTGGGCTGGGCCTAGGAAACCGCATTTTCAACACATCCCCCAGGTGACTAGGGCAGGTGACCTGGGGGCACTAGAGAAATGGGGACCTTTGTTAAGAAAAGGTAGGCCACGGAGGCTGAGGGAAGAGAGGCGGACGCGGAGTCAGCGCAGGTGTGTGTGCCTGGGCTTGGGGCCCTGACGTGCCTCCGCTGACCCGCAGGGCGACTCCGGAGGCCCCCTGGTGTGCCTTGTGGGCCAGTCGTGGCTGCAGGCTGGGGTGATCAGCTGGGGCGAGGGCTGCGCCCGGGAGAACCGCCCCGGCGTCTACATCCGGGTCACTTCCCACCACAACTGGATCCACCGGGTCATCCCTGAACTGCAGTTCCAGCGGGCCAGGCGGGGCGGCCAGCAGAGAGGCCCCCGTGGCCAGCAGCCCAGCGGCCGGAACCTCGCACCCTGCGGGGCTGCCCCCACTGTCCTGCTGGTCCTCCTGGCGCTGCTCACCCGCCTCTGAGCCGCCCCGGCCAGCGCTGTCCCTTTGTAAGTAGCCCTGTTGGGCCTCTCCAGTGCCCGGTTATTTTTATTTATGTTCACCCAATAAAGTCCCAGTGCCAGCACCGCTGCCGTGGGGTCCTGGGGCTGAGGTGTGTCCCGGGCGGGGAAGACGGAGGGCTGGCTTCCCAGCGGGAAGGGGCCACAGCCGGCACCCGAGGCAAGGACATCACTGGACTCCTGGGCTACAGTGTCCCTGTGACACCTGTCCCAGCCACCCTCCCTGCTCCCTGTTGCCACCCGTGCTGTTTCCTCACCTTGAGCGTCTGCCGAGAGTGCCCTGTGCCAGGAGCTGGATACAGCAACAGACAGGTGCAAAGACCGAGGTGGGACAGCTGGGGTCTCAGTGGGGGGAAGTGGAGCCAGAGGAGGGGGAGGGGAGGAGGATGCCGGCCTCTCGGCATCACCCAGGCTTCTCTGGGTGACGTCAGCAGGGAGACCAATGGCGGCTGTCCCCTTGGTGAGTGCCTGCACCCTGTGCTTTCCTGCCCCATGCAAGGAGGCAGGGGTGCGACGGAGGCACCCCCACCTCTGCTACTCCTGGTGCCCTGGCCTTGTCCAGGGGCTCCCCATGCCCTGGGTTCTCCCCAGACCCCTACTCCTCTCCCCCACCCCTGTCCGAGTCCTTCCCACTAGGGAGACCACCCACACGTGTGTGCACGCCCAACCCGCACGCACCCAGCCCAGGCCCGGGAGGCACAACTATGTCCTCCATGGCCGACCTGCCCCGCCCGGCAGGGAAAGAATTGGTGCCCACTTAGCAAGCACCTGCTGAGCACTGGCCCTGGGGACACAGTTGGGAACAAAACACAAGGAATCCCCCCAGGGCGCCACTTGGCCTGTGTGTGTGTGCGTGTGTGCCCTGCGGCCACTTCCACAGGGGGAGGCCGGTGCAGGGAAGCCAAGCAGAGGGGGAAGGGCAGGGAGGGGCGAGCGCCAGGCTGAGCAGGGGCTCTGGGTGGGGGAGGTCAGAGAGGTGAGGTTGTCTCTGGAGGGAGCCCCCCACACACACACCTACATCTGTGTGGTGAGGCCTGGATGAAGGCCAGCTCCTGGGTGACCCCAGGCAGGGACCAGGCTCCCAGAACACAGCCCCGCCCACCCATGTCACCAGCCCTCGACCAGGCCCAGGCCCAGGCAAGCCCACAGACGTCTGCAGAACTCTCCTCAGGGACCTGGGTTTAAAAGGAAAAACAGGTCTATTTCATGCGATTTCCAGTTCATACTAAGCTTAGTGTTGGGAGAAGGATGGTTGGTAGCAAGAGACACGTCCCAGGTTTTGTCCCAGGTTCCCTCTCCCACCATGGGCGGGGGTGCAGCTCAAATGCAACTTGCACGCTGTCGCCAAGCAGAGCCATTTGCCAGGTGGGCGGCGGCGGCGGCAGGGCCCTCTGCAGCTGCAGGAAGAACTCGAGGGACAGGCTGGCAGGGCCTGGGCACAGAAGACAGGCAGAAGGCTGGAGCCACCTCCCTGGGCTCAGTCCAGCGGGGTCGCAGTGAAAGCCCACCTCAGCCAGCCGCAGCAGCCCGCGGGTGCCAGGGCCACACACGCCTCCAGGGGCTGCAGCCAGAAATCCACATGCACGTGACACACGCACCCACACACACCACACCCCCCCCACACATGCACACGCATCATACGTGATCAGCCTGGGAGCCCAAGGAAGAAAACCGCATCTGTGTGTGTGTGTGTGGGGGGGGTCTGAGGACAAAACAGGCATCTGTGTAGGGTGGGGGGTCTGAGGGCAAAGTGCCACCCGCCACCCAGCACTCAGGTGCTCACGGGTGGGACGGGCAGTGGCAGGGAGGAGGGGAGGCCCCAAAGCCAGAGCCCCTCCGTCCCCCCAGGTTGTGGTTGGCATGGACATCTGCGGGTCGGGCGCCAGCCAGCCACTGCCACCAGCTCTGGAGGACGGAAGATGGACACCAATGAATTGAGGGAAGGGGAGGAGAGAGATGCCAAGGAGGGTGCCTGCCCCCTGCAGTGCCCTGGAAGGTTCTAGGCATGGGAACTGCATGGGGGGAACCTGCACGCTCCGAGCCTTGCCTCCCTCTCCTGCCGTCCTCTGGCTTCCCAGAGCCACAGGGCTGGTGCCTGACACTTCCTCAAGAGATCTGCCTCCCCAGCCCCCCGGCCCCCATGGAGGGCAGGCTGGGCCAGGGCTGCCCCACCCAGCAGACCCAGCGGCCCTGGGGCGCTAGGCCTGGCCCAGCACGCAGACTGGACAGGCAGCCTTCACTCAGATGGGAGACGGCTCCGGCTTCAACTGGGGCCACCTGCCATGCTCAGGCCTCTCCCAAGTGCCCACGGCTTGCCTGGCCAAGGGGCTGCAAGACATGTCGGAGCTGCAAGGCATGTCGGGGCTGCAAGGCATGTCGGGGCTCCGGATGACCAGAAGACCCCTTGGCTGCATACTGAGCACCGGGAAACCGCTTGTCCCCACTGTAGACAGCCCCCACTCCACATGCCAGCCCAGGAGGGCAGGACAGTCCTCAGCAGGGCCCGGGGTCCACATGGGCCCATCAGCCACACGCCTGGACAGAGGACAAGGCTGGGAGACACTCCAGCATCTGGGGTCCAGGATTCTTGGCCCACCTCAGGCAGCCAGAGCCCCCAGGGGACACTGGGAACAGCAACTTCTCCCAGAGAGCAGCAGATGAACCTCTGCAGAGCAGCCACCAGGCGCAGCCGGGGCGCCGGCCCCAGAGCTGCCCCCACGCCGAGCTCAGCACCCGGCGCCTCTGCCCGGCAGGAGAGACAAGGGCGGTGGACACGCACTCCATGGGGTGTCAGCACTTTCAGAAAACGTCACTCGAGCTGGGCAAGGCGGTGGCACCTGTGTCTCAGCTACTTGGGAGGCTACGACAAGAGGATCACTTGAGGCCAGGAGCTGCAGTCCAGCCTTGGCAACATCACGAGACCTCGTCTCTTAAAAAAAAAAGTCACTTGTATATGTTCTTCTGTCCCCTGGGGTGAGGACATGATGTCGGCAAGAGGTGGCAGGTGTCCAGCTGTCACCACTAGCCTGGCCCAAGCCAGCCCCAGTGGGGACAGAAAGGCGGACGGCGGCTCCAGCCCGGCCGGCAGCCTGGGTGGCGACTCCCCTCCTGAGCGTTGCAAGATACCAACAGTCACGCTCGTTCTTAAATACACAATTTTATTCGCTATTTTCAGGGGAAACTTAGGCATTAAACTGTAAGCTGATAAAATACGGATACCTAAAAAAGTATAAAAGTATAAATATCCCCTTAGAATAAATTTTAGTGAATTAAGTCTTAATATCTTTAAATTAAAAAAACCACAAGCCTATCTATCACGTCAAGGTCAGAAACCAAACGTGGGGAGCGGCGAGCGCGGCCTAGGCCACAGGCTGCGCCCCCGTGGGGGGACAGGGCGGCCGGGGGCCTCCCCCGCCCTGTGCAGAGGCTGCTGGGAACTGTTGAAGCCAGACATTTAACAACACACAAGAGACCTTACAAAAGGAGGAGGTAAGTCCTAGGTGCTGGAGAACTCGGTTAATCAGGTTATTGGCAAAGGAGAGGGAGGAGGCCCGGGCAGGAAGTCTCCGGAAGCGTTTGACACTAGACACTGGCGGACCTGTGACCTACACGCGGGCGGCCCCGGCAGTCAGCGTGCGCGGCTCCCCGGGGCCCGGGCGCAGAGAGCTTGCTCGTTCAGCCAGGTCCCCGGCCAGACTGGTCCCCACGGCCAGCGGGGGCCTGTGCTCCAGGCGTGCGGCGGCGGCTACGGGCCGGCAGCCCCCGGCAGGCCAGGCGGCGGCCCGTGCGGGCTGTGTAGTCTCGAACCTCCCAGAAGGAGAGAAGACTGCATAGTTGCGCAGAGAAGACAGAGGGCTGGCGAGAGACGTCTGCGACGCGCCGGAACACCCCGAGCCGTCCCCACGACCGGAGCCGCGGCTCCGGAAGCCGGCGGGCAGGCCTCGCCTCCGTCCCGGGCGCTACAAGGCACTGACGGCGCCAGCTCCCGCGAGCCCGCGGGTGGGAGGCCCAGGCGGCGCTGCCACCTCCCCCAGAGGGTCTAACAGGCCGGTCCACACGGAGCAACGCGTGTGGGCGTTTCTGGAGAGTACAAACACTGGGGAGACCACCCACGCTTGAAAAAAGGGATACAAAGTTCTCTCGCCTGGAAAATACAAATGGATGGAGAGGCCGTGACCGTGCCGGCCGAGCAGCCCAGGCGCAGGGCCTGGTTCCCAAGGAGGCCGGACCCCGGGAGCAACGCCCGGGAAGCAGTGCCAACACAGACGCCACCGCTGTCAGGAGCTGCTGCCCAGGCTGAGAAACCGTCGCACGAGCACACCTGGGAGGCTGAGGACCAGGGCCTGGCACTGAGCGGGTGACCAGAGGACACCCAGACCGGAGGCCCCGCATGCCGCTGACAGCGCGGCAGCTACCTCCCTGCACGAGGGCCCAGGCTGCCTTTACAGACTGTTCATGTAGCACCAAGAACACTGTCCTGTAGACGGTCTCCAGTGACCACACGGGCTCCCCGGAAGCATCCTGCCTCGGTCTCATGTGGCACTTGCAAAAAGCAGAACGAGGCCCCCAGAGACAGCGCCCACTGGCCACGGCGCCTCCTCCCCGTGGGGACGCCTGGCCTTGGACAGCTGGGCCCGTCTCTCACCACCCACCTCAGAGGCAAAAAAGGATTCACACCCAGATCTCTAGGAAAATGATCAAAAGCAGGTTTCTTCTCACAGCCAAGCTTCCTGGACAAGGCGGTTCATTGCATCTTGGAAAAAGTAGTTCATTTCTTCAGCTGTCAATACTGTGTCCCTCACATCCTTGAGCCCCGTTCTTGCAAAATCTGAAAGACAGCAAATGAACAGAGTGAGGGCTCAGGCCCTGACCAAGCGCCTGCTCCAGGCAGCAGAGCCCACAGGTCGAGTCGGCCACAGACACGGACGGCTCTGCTCAGGGTCCCAGGCAACCAGCCTGGCAGGCCGGAGCGCCCGCGGGCCAGCCCAGGACCCCCACTGTGCGCGGCCGGCACCCTGCCCATGGCACCCTCGCCACACACTCGGCTCACCCCGGCTCGCCAGTCTCCACCAGCCCCTCGTTCCAGCACACCCTCCCCCACGGCAAGCCTGCTGCCCTGCCCCACTGTGAGAAACCCGGCATGGCCCTCAAGGGGAATAGCTCCTTGGCAAGACCCCAGAGACCCCCCCAGGGCAGTCCCTGCTCTGTCAGCCCAGGGAACCTGCCCCCTCCCTCTCAGGGCCTTGTGTCTCAGTCCCCACCTGCTCCTCAGCCTGTGGCTGCCTCCCAAGGGGGCAGAGCCCACCTGGGGACTCACCACGCACCTTATGAGCCCAGCCAGAGCCTGAGCCCCAGACAGACATGTGCAGCAGGGCCCCAGGGTCCCTCAGCAGCCCCTGCCCCGACCTGTCCCTCCCCTCTCCACACCCGCTGCAGCCCACACCCCCACCCTATACGCCGTTCCACCTCCACACACAAGGCCCTCCTGGAATCCCCTCCCCCACCTCGACCCCCTCCCTGGCCCCCGCCTCTGCCTGCCCGGGGCTCCCTGAGGACAGGCCTGGGCACTGGCAAACGCTCAGCTGAACCTGCAAAATGAGCCACAGCAGCCCACAGGCCAGGTGTAGGGGGCCCACCCCGTGCCCCAGGCAGGCAGCTTTGGAGCTGGCAAGCTGGCCAGAGCCGGCTGGTTCTGCAGGTCGTGTCCAGGCTGCTAAGTGCCAGGCCAGAGGACAGGACACCGCGAGCCCAGCGCAGTGGCCCCCACCAGACAACTCCCGGGAGCCTGCTGGCAGCGGAAAGAGCTCACCTCCCTGAGGCTCGTCCTGGACGGCTCAAGAGATGGCACCTTCTCTCGAGTCACTCCTGCCTGTCCACTGCCTGTCCCCGGGCGGTCCCTGCCCAGCCCGTAGCTCCCACTGGCTCTCCGGTGCCTCCACAGGGCGCCCCCCACTATGCCAGGGCAGCAGGCCCCTCCTGGCCGACAACGGCAAGCGCCTCAAGTCAGACTGATGCTGAGCTGAGGAGACGCAGGGTGACAGTGCGGCCCTGCTGCCCCGCTGAGCCCTGAGCCCCCACCAGCCCCATGCGGAGCTGGAGGCACCGAGCAGAGGAAGTCAGCAAACTAAGCAGGGACAACCTGGCCAGGAACCCCAGGGCTTGTGACTGTCACAGCGCCGTCCTTCCCCTCCCAAGGCCAGGACAGCACTGTCTGCCCTAGACCGACTTCAGGTGAGACCCTCCTCTTCTGGGCACGCTCCCGCACAGGGCCACCCTCCACAGGGAGGCTTGCGTCCAACTGAGGAGACCAGCCAGCCAGGGACCAGGGAGGCTGCACCCGACCAGCAACGGCCCTCAGGCCAGGCCCCAGCATGAGGGGCTGACATGGCTTCTGGGACCAGAGAGTGGCATCCCCGGCCTGGGGGGCTCGGGCGGAGCAGGGACACCCTGGGCTCTGGCGTCCAGGATTGGGGTCCACCATCTGCTGCGTGGCCTTCACCCCATGGCCCTGAGCCCATGGCCTAAGCCAGGCAGGGAGGCGGTCCCCCCGGGGCTGGCGTGAGTGCACACTGCCCAGCCCGCGCATCCACACCTGCTGCTGTCCACTGGCACAAAGGGCTCTCCGCCATTGCAAGTGCCCATCCTCCTGCCCACAAGTGTCATGGAGGGGACAATGACAGCGTGGTGCCCAGCATCCTAGCAACAGCCCCCGCCCCGAAGGCAGCTCTACTGTGGGTCTACGGTTGGCATCCAGCACGGAGGGTTCTGCTAACTATAGCACGGGACAGACGTGGGGGCGCTGTGGGCAAGGGTCAGCTGGGTCGCAGGGTCAGGAAGTCTACGGTGCAGGGGTCAATCACAAGGGTGCAGAGCTCACCATGACATCTACACTTAATCTGAGTCACTCCCTTCGTGACCTTCGTCCTCGCCGTCACTCTGGAGGGGCGGGCAGCGTGTGTCGTGGAGAGAAGACATGTCAGGTGCCAGCCGGCAGGCCCGAGGGAAGCCCCGCAGCGGCTGGGGAGCCCCGGGCCCAACCCCCGTGCCCAGACCGCACCGAGGGGAAAGTGCTGCGAGGGCTCAGGGGCCTGTCGCTGCCCAGGGAAGTGACCTCACCTGCAGGTGGCAGCCTGCACCCTGGAGTCCAGGAGCCTGAAGTCCCCCCTGCCGGCCACGTGGAGGAAGCCCTGCCCAGAAAGAGGCCTGGACTTTGGCCTTGGCTCCTGGGGGTGGTCTCCAGCCCTGGGCCCGTCCTGTCAGGAAGGCGTTTGCCAGCCTGGGGGCCGTGGGCCACACTGCACAGGCCCCACTGCTGGGTGACGGAGAGTGGGGCCTCAGGTCCAAGGAGTCCAAGTCCGTTGCCCAGTCGTGCCACTGTGAGGGAGCCCCAGAAACGGCTTCTCTGGTGGGCAGCGCCCCAGGAGTGGCAGGAGGGGACGTGCCCTGACTCCAGGGGGGGGGGCCTGTCCAGGCCTCTGCCCCCCACATCTCGCTCCACTCCTCTAATAAACGGAAGCCCTGAGTTAAACCGCTCTTGGTGCGTCTGCGAGTCCCTCTAGCAAGTTCTCCAGCCTGACAGTGGTTCCAGGCCCGTGCTGGCAGCTGGTGTTGGCAGCAAGGGCGCCTGTGTGTGGATGTCCCTCTGCTGGCAGCTGGCCACAGCCTTGGGGACTCTGGCCCCCTCCTTCCCCCCATTTCCAACTTGAACCCAACGCTGCAGGGACACCAGTGAGGAGGGTCTGCAGAGACCGCTGCCTACAGGACATGCGGCCCTGCTCCAGCCAGGCTGCACCCAGGGAGCCCCGAACCCCCACCCTCCAAACCTGGCCCCCAACCTTCCCCGGCCCCTGGAGGCCCCGGACCACACTCGGCCTCCTGGAGCTGCTGCCACATTTAGAAGCCTCGCGGCTGCCCCACTTCACAGCCAGGTATTTTTGGAGAGAAACAGGGCCACACTTCCACAGCAGAGGGATTCGGGTCACACTTGGGGCTCCCTCACAGCACAGAATGTGTCCTTTCTGCAGCTGAAGAGGCACCTGAGGGAACTGAGCCCTGGTGAGCCTGGTTATGAAGACCATTTAAGTCCAGAAATAAAAAGCTTCTAAAAATAAAGCAATTTATAAGAGCCCTGCAACTGCTCAGAGAGAGAAGGCCCTGCTCCTGACCAGGCTCGGGGCTCGGCAGAAGCACATGCCTGGGCGTGGCACCAGCAGAGCGGGCCTGGCCTCCGCACAGGCAGCGCACCTGCCCGGGGCCCGGGAGCAGGAGGCTCAGGCCTGGGTGTCCACAGCGAGGACGCACCCTCACGTCACGAGTGGCGAGAACACCGCCATGGGCCAGCTCGGCCTCCTTGAGACGCTCTTGGTGACTCCAGCTGCTCCCAAGCCCACCCCTTCCCAGGAAGACCTGGAAAGGCTCACAAGGTCGGTGCTGGGCAGGTGGCTGCCAGCCATGACGACAAATGCTGCTGGCAGCCAGCCAAAGGCCACAGCCAGAGTCTGAGGACACCCCAGGGGTCCTGGGTTTAATGTCATCAGTCAAAACCCTTCAGTTCTGGCCTTTTCCTGCACCCAGGAAAGGCCCTTCGTCAACGCCTGAGCCTTTACCAGGGTTACTTGTGGGCCCACAGAGGCCTGTCCCATCTCCCAGGCCCTGCTAGACTCCTCCCAAGCCCCCAACCCCCCTCAGCAGGCTGCAGGCTCCTCGCCAAGCCTGCCACCGAGGTCCAGGAGTCCTACCAGGCAGAGCCAGCCCAGGCCAATGCCAGCTTCTGCAAGGACAGATGTGTCTGTCTGTCCTGGAGCCCCAACCTTAAGAACATGGCCAGAGGAAATGCCACCAGAATGGGTTACCAGGAGGCAGGGCCACAGGGCTAATCCAAAAGCCACTGAAGCAGGTGGTTCCCTGTTTTCTCTCAGGTGCCACCAGCCTCCTTAGGAGACAGGGGGCCCATGCCAGTCCATACAGGGGCTGGCCACATGTGGGCAGACAAGACACTCCATGGAGCCTAAGAATCACAGGACCGCAGGACACTCTCCTCTTACAAACTAAACACACGTCCCAAGACCAGGCTGGATGTGGTGAGGCAGCTGCCAGCCTGAGAGCCCATTCATGCACTCGGGGGATGGGCACAGGGCCTGTCCCATGATCACCACAGGTGGCAGTCCCCTGGGACTAGAGGATCCCTGGGTCCACCAAGAAAACAGCCCCCAGGGGCATTCCTTAAAAGTACAGCCCCTGCCGGCAGGCCCAGAGGACATTTCTGGGGAGCTGTGCCACAAGCCCCGTCGTTCCACGGGAGACCCTGCCTCTGACCAGCCAGGCAGGAGTCAGTGATGGTGGCCCGCAGGGGCCTGGACCTGGCTTGCTGAGAATGGTGAGAAAAGGGGAAGCTCTGAGAAGCAAAACCTTCCAAAACCCGCCCTTCAGGTGGCGGCAACGACCTGGGCGAGCCTCCACTGGAGGGGCTGGCGCTCACCTTGGCCTTCTCGCTGGGCTCGCTGGCCGTGCCGTAGGGCGTGTTGTGCAGCTCCTTGGAAACCACACACAGGAACTCCGCCTGGTCTTCGTTCCCGTAGTTGTAGGAGGAGCCGATGCTGACGAGCTGGGGAGACACGTGGGAGGCCCCTGTGACAGGCGCCGGCTCCGACGCCCACCATGAGGGAAGCTGCAGCCGGCAAACAGCCGTGGCAGCGACGGCCATCCCGTGGGACGCCAAGGGCGAGTTTCAGGAGACGGTTAATGCACGCACAGAACACAAGCTCCTGAGACACCTGTGCAGGTGCGTGCACACACCTGTGCCACCATGCAGCTGCACGGCTGCCGCACAGGCTCTTCCTCTTGGGGACACTGAGCTCCTCAGTGTTTCCAGTTGGGCCAACAGGGCACGGTGACAACCAGCCCAGGGAAGGCTGAAGGACAGTGGGGCTGGCATGGAGCCGTGGAGCATGCGTACATGGGGGCAGTGGGGTGGGGGGAGGGGCTGCCACATGCACCTGCCACCAGGCCTTCCCCAGGGCAGCAGGACTGATGCGGCTGACCTGCTCCCAGCAGGGCGGGGAACGCGAGGCCAGTGGCTCCTGGAAGGAGGAGCCCGGGGCCCAGGTGCAGAGTCTGAAAGACCTGCTGGGAAGCTGTGCCTCAGAGTCCAGTCCTGCTGGGACTTGGTGGGCACACCCTCTCTAACACACCCGAGTCCCTCCAGCACCAGATATGCCACGTGGGGCTGAGGGCCAACCTGCCTGCTCAAGAATGGGGGGGAAACCCACACTCTGCAGTGGATTCGGGATCCACCCCGAAGAGCCACGGACAAGGTCCTGTCGCTGGCCGTGGGCAGCGGCCCAGGAGGCAGGAGAGCCTCCCTTCTAGCCAGGAAAGTCACAGACAGCGGAAGAGCCACAGGCGCCGTGAGGACGGCCCTCTCACAGGTCCTGAACTGGAGACACAGCTTCCCGTGGCCACCACTGAGGGACCACCCCGTGGGCAGGGCTCTCCAGCCAGCAGAGGGTGTTCCTGTGAGTCTCTGGCAGTTCTGATGGGCCAGAGCATGAGAAGCGTGGCCCTGGCAGGGCAGGGCCTGCACCGACAAGCTGCTGCCCGCCCGACAGAGGCCACGGCGTCGCCTGCTGCCCACCAGCCCAGGGGTCCGGCATGGAGGGCGGGATGCAAATGCTGACCGAACCTGTCTTTAGTGACATTTCAAGGGGACTCCAAGCTCTCTACAGAGTGACCCACTATTTCAAAAAACCCAAAGGAAAGGGAAGCCTTGCTGAGGAGGGGCAGTGGGGAACCACATTCTCTGGCAGGGCCCCTCGCCATGGACAGAACCTGCCTTAGACAGAAGCGAGCAACAGAGCAAACTGTCGGGACAGGGACTGGACAAGGTCCTGGTCCCCAGGCTCAGCGTTCACCTATGAACAGCTACAGCAGAGACGAGATCTCCGGCCAGCACCCCCTGGGGAAAGTACACGCCCTGCACAGGCACGGCGGTGCTCCCTGTGGCACTCGGGAAAGCCCCGGCCCCAACCTGACTCGGGCAGGCAAGACCAGAGAGGGCAGAGGGACAACTGGAGCCAGCAGTGTCTCCCTGGCACGAGCGGACAGGGGGCAGCAGAATGCCACCGCCCAGCAGCAGGAGCGGGCATGGGCCAGGCCGCACACGGGGGTGTCAGGGCACAGAAAGGCAGAGCCCAGAGGGATCGGCTGGAGTGACAGGAAAAGCTGCAGAGAAAGCGTCAGGAAGAAGGAGGCAGGACCTAGGACGCCCTCCTGCCCCACTCGAACGCCCAGGCGAGTCCACCCAGGACCACGCAGGCGGCCGTCTGTGAGCCCCCAGGCCTGGAGGACACAAAGCGAGCCCTGTGTCTCCAGGAGCCACCAGGAGGCAAGCGCCTCAGCCGGTCCCCGAGGACCCGGGGCCTCCATAAGGAAACGTTCAACCGCACCGGGGGCTGCTGTCAGCGTGGCGAGCCCCCTCACCTGCTCGAACTTCCAGCCATCAGACATGGTGGACACCATCTGCGTGAGCTCCTCCTCCTGACACTGCAGCACGCGGTACACGTGCTTCACGGGCACCTGCAAGAACACAGCCGCGGTGAGACTGGGCCACACCACACGCCGCCGCCACGTCCCAGCCCAGCAGCCCTGCCCAGCGCCGACTCGGGAGCTTTCCAGGGGGCCTGAGTGAGGCCGAAGCTCGCTCCACGTCTCTCAGCTCGGGTCACGAGGCCCACGGCAACCCGAACACGGCCAGAGAAAGCCAATGCGTGGCCCGCGGCAGCTGCTGTTTTCTGTTCCTCGTTCGCCTCCAAAAATATTTCCATTTCTAAATCCCAAAATAGGATGAGTCATGTTCCTGAAATCCCAGAACACCTGTGGCCAGACAGGAATACTCAAGAGCGTCCGTGTCTGCGCCACACGGGACGGCAGGAAGCCGCTGAGCTGACCTGTGGGAAAGGAGTGCTAGGGGCCTGGGGCGACACTGGGGAAGCTGTGGGCAGGCACAGCAGCCCCAGCTGAGCTGGCCCTCCAGCTGAATCTGTCTCTCAACCACACCTGCCCGCCACAGAGTCACCACGCTGCGACCAAGGCGGGCTCCGGTCCTAGAGCCCCGGACTCAGCTCTGCCCTCAGGGGCTGCTAATCAGGCAAGAGGTGGTGGCTGTGGAACATGGATAGGACATGTGACATTGAGGGGGAAGGGCCTCAGGAGCCATGGTCCCTCATGTTAAGGCAGTGACTCATGCTAGGACATGCAGTGACAAAGTCACACACTGGTCTCCCAGTCACACAGCCTCAGTGCTTCCACAGCAAGTAAGACTGGCTGCTGGTGTCACTGCACGCCGGGACCCAAGAGGAGGGTCTCTCTGTCCCACATGGGGGGAGGAGGCTCAGCCCTTCCAGGTCACCAGTCATGAGAGGGGTGGCTGGGCCCAAGGGAAGAGGGGCGCCCTGGGTGGGGTGACCTGGAGCATCCAGGGCATGTCTGCCACCCTCGGACAAGGGGCCCTCCCGACATCAGGTGTGTGCCCACCCGGACACCGACAGGCTGCTCCAAGTGGCCAGGCCACCAGCCAGCCTCCACCCAGCCAAGCGCGGGCACAGGGCCTGCCTGGCACACTGTGGGGGTTGGGGAAATGAGACAGTCTCACACAGACAGAGACTCGAGACCTTCAGGTAACAACAGCCACCGACGTCCACTTCCCGGCGTCTTCCTGAAGTGGCTGAACTCAAGGGCTCAGCGCCCAGTGCAGAGCTGGCACCATGGCGACACTAATGCTAACGGTGGTGACACTAACACAGCACACCGCTCCAGGCCCAGCCCAGCCAGGGCCACTGTCGCCCTCAGGCCCTTCAGAGGCCCCACCCCCACGGCCCTCCCCTCCTCCACAGCCTTGCCCGCATGGTCCCTTCCCCCAGGAGCCGAGCTCCCAGAGCTCCCAAGGCAGGCCGGGCAGAGCCGCGAGGGGAGCAGGCGGCACGGCTGGGTCATCGGGCACTGCAAGGGTGACAGGGGTGGGCAAGAAGGCGACAGCCCGCCCCAAGGCCCCGAGCGGGAGGCTGCCCAGCAGCCGGGCAGGCAGGAGGGGAGCCACACCTCTGCCAGGCCCTGCAGGCTCCTGGCACATCAGTCACTTGTCTCACCTGTGACGTTTTGCTGTCTCGTTCTCTAATTTTGTCCTTTACCAGTTTTATTAACGAGGTGATGTTGTAAAATTCCGCTTCCTCCAACACTCCTGGAATAGAGAAAACCAACTGTAACTTTCAGGAGACCAGACCAAGCCAAGGAATAAATGTTTCATGCCTGTCCTGCCCGATACGGACCCACCAGGCCCAGTCGAGGCCTGCAGGACCCTCCGGCCCAGCCCTGGCAGACTCGGCGGACCCTCACTGGCACACGGCGAGGTTCCCCGCGCATGGGGCAGAAGGTGGAAAACGACCCACTGGGTGCAGAACAGCTGGTTCAAAGGCAGCTCCAGCACATTCACTCCGGTGCACGAGTGTCGGGGAGCAGAAGCGCCAAGTCCCTCCACAGCCCAGAGGCTGCCTGTCCTGTGCTGGCTCTTCCTGCGGGACGCAGCATGTGGCCAGGCCACGGGTGGGGAAACGTGGGACTCAGGCCTGGCCAGGCGCCTCCTGCACGTGTCTGAGTCACTTGGCACCTCAGTTTCCCCGTCAAAGGCAAGACTGAGGCCGGCTGAGGGAGTCTCCTGGCCCCAGGACCCTCCAGCACTGCCGTGTGCGCCACACCACGTCTAGGACCTCGAAGCCTCCCAGGAACCCTTAAGGACAGACTGCGCGGACCCTGCTTCAGGGACCCTCCTGGTCTGCTGAATTTCTTCAGCCCTCCAAAGGGAAGCTGCATGTAGGATGTGACAGCGCAGGACAACACACGATGACCTACTCAGGACAGGGCCACCGGGAGCCGAGCTACCCAGGACAGCACAGGCTCCCTGTCCCCAGACCCAGAGTGTCGCCCGCAGGGCATCCCACCCCAGCTGGACGCTCGAGTGCCAGGCGCCCTCACAGCAGCCACGGCCGAGGCCAGTCAGAGGCAGCCGGCGAGACTGGGCGGGGTGACGTGTGAGCAGCGCCCGAGCTGAGCAAACCTCGCTTGGACAGGTGCCACCGCACAGCTCTACACATAGCACAAAGCAGCCGCCCCAAGCAACCAGTGTGTGACAACGGTTCACTGCCAAAGACAATGCAAGTGGACACAAAGTGTTCTCACAGGTCTGCGCAGACCCTGGGCAGCAGCACCAGCAGCCCTGGGGGGCTGTGGAACTCAAGAGAAGGGGGGCAAGCCGGGCGCGGTGGCTCACACCTGTAATCCTAGCACTCTGGGAGGCCGAAGTGGGAAGATCGCTTGAGCCCAGGAGTTTGAGGTTGCTGTGAGCTAGGCTGATGCCACAGCACTCACCCCAGGCAACAGAGTGAGTCTCTGTCTCAAAAAAAAAAAGAGAAAGGGGCAGATCCCAAAGCCTAGGAAAGAAACAGGGCGAGAGGCAGCAGGCCGGGAAGGATGGTTCCAGAGACATGGCCAAGGCAGGGGGAGCCAGAGCCATGCCTGAGCAAGGCGCCCAGAACCTCACAGGGCCTGCGGGAACAGGGCCTCCCCAGCTCTCCCGAGCCCACACTGGAGCGCATAGACAGGCAGCCTCAGGCCTGAGGCCAGGCAGCTCGAACATGGGTGTCCCACCTTGTGTGCTGTGACCAGCTGGAATGTGGCACAGCAACTGGTAATGGCACAGAGGTGCCCACCACCCTCGAGCTGTCCTTGCAGGAGAGCAGGCCGGGCACGCCGGGGTCTAAGCACACCCACAGGACTCAGCAGCTGCATCCTAACCCGGGCCTTGGACCACTGTGAGAACCCACGGCCTTCCCAGGAAGAGGCCCCACCCCGACAGGTGTCAACAACGAGACACTCGAAAGACAGAGCCCTCGAAAGGACCGTAGCCAGGGAGTGCGGCTCAAGGCTCTCGCCTTGCTAGGAGGCTCACAGGTGTCTGGGCGTGGCCTCGTGAGACAGTGTCTGGAGGGGGCGAGGGCCCCGCCCCACTCACAGGTGCAGGACCTGCCCTGGCAGGGGCTCCAGACGGAGGGGTCTGCATCTTAGACGAACCCATCAGTACCTCCGTTAGGTCCTCTGGCCCCAAAGCTCAGGCATCTGTGCAGAAGGACAGCTCACCTTCTTCCGCAAGGTCTTTGTTGATGACCAGCTTCCCGTGTCTCAGGTAGTTCAGCACGGGCCCGAAGTAGGTGGGGTCTCTGTCGATTAGATAGGCACCTGTTTCATCCTACATAGAACGAGACACCGTGAGTCCTGGATGAGAAACCAAGAGGTCCTGCAGCTACAACATGGCCGGCGACTTAAGTAGCAAAGAGTTTCAGAGGCATCAGGGTCACCCCAAACCAGACCCATGTCTGGGGGACCTTGGGGAACCCGTACGTGGTGCTGCTTCACCCTGCCTGTTGCCACTAGGTCTAAGGCAAGTTTTAAGTTCTGTTTGCATCAAGAGGGCCTCCCTGTGTTTGCCCCGAGGCGAGGCGATGGTGGGTGAGCCCCCTCCTCGCAGCTCTATGGAAGCGCGGACGGCCTCAGGCACAGATCCTCCCCACCGGACTCAAAGGCAGCCCTGGAGCTCCAGACACAGCCTCCCGGCCAGGGCCTGCCCTCCTCGTGCCTGGCTTCTCCCTGGACAGACATGCAGAACCCACACCCTCCCTCAGCAAGGCCATGGCCAAGTGCTCAGGAGAGAAAGTCAGTCCATAGTCAGAGGGGTGGACGTGGCCTCCCCGGCCATACAGCGGCTCCCCCGGCTCACTCGGGCTCGGCAGGGGCAGGCCCCAAGCTCGCCAGGCTCCGTGGAGAGCGCCAGGATCTGGGAGGACGGCATCTGGCATTGCTGCTCGGTAGGCTGGAAGTGTCTTGACCACCCAGCTACAGGCTGTGTCAGGACCCTATTCTTCATTCGTGGATATCAAATTTTGCAGTTTGGGCAGTAAAACCTGGTGATTCCAGTGTTTTTCCCCCAGAGCCCACCATGAAAGCTATAAAAACCTGCGTTACTTGGGTCAAAGGGACAAAGCAGCGCTGTGACCTAGATTACCCCACCAGAGCTCTGGACACGGGGGCACTAGAACTGCAGCCTTGGTGACCTGAGCACCTCTGTGCCCCTCCTCTCTCCCCGTGGGCCCTGGCCCACACAGACCCTCCAGCTCCACCTCATGCCCGCCCCGGCTCAGGACCTGCAGGCCAGAGCTTCCCCCACACCTATAGTGCCCTCAGGGGTCCCGCCTCCCAGCCGAGACCCCAGGCTCTTCTCCCAACCCTCCACACCCCTACTGCTCTCCATACAAAGCCTGGGACCAAGCGGAGCAGCTTCTGGAAAAAGTATGCTCTGGCAGTCCTGCGCTCTGGGGCCAGAGTCTGGAGAGAAAGGCGGGGCTGCCACGGGGACAGGGCTCTTTCCCCCCGCCCCCCCACCCCCGCAGGGAGCGTGTCCACTGTGTGACATCAGAACACCTGGACAGGCCGCTGGCCGAAGGTCATGGAGAGATCAGATGGTGATACACTCATCTCCACCCAGACAAACCCAGGACCCCCCCCCCGGCCACCAATGGCCTCAGCCTCTGAGCCTGGCCTCAGTTGGTCAGACCTTGGGCTCAAGACCAGGGCTCCTCCGTTTCTTCTGAGTAAAATGGGACGAGGGCAGCTACGAGCAGCAGGGGTGCCCCAGGCCCGTGTCCCACCCCATGTCCTGCACCCACGACAGCACCACTGGTGAGCAAGCACCCCTTGGCAAAGGTGGCGCCAGGCATCTTGCTGGGCACTGGGACCCAGCAGAAGAGGAAGGAGAGTACTGAGTGCCACTGGTGCACTGAGCCACGGGAGATGCCCACAGGGACCCAGGCCTGTGACGCTGGAAGGACAAGGGGACACTGGAAGGACAAGCGACGGGCAGGTGAGCCCCTTCAGGAGGCATCTTTGCTGGCAGGTGCGTGGCAGAAACTCCTGCTGCAGTCTGACCTCTCGGCCTGGAGCACAGCTGGCCCAGGGCAGGGACAGGATGCATCCAAACACGGGACATGGGGCTCTTCAAGGCCAAGTTCACCAGCTGGGGCAATGGCACCTCCTCAGGGCCTCGGAAGTGAGACCGTGCTGGCTGTGTATGAACTTGTGACCAAGGGGGGGCTGGGCTGAGTTGGGCTGTGCAGCCCCTGGGGCCCTCCCAAACCGCAGTGCAGTCTCGGGTCCCAGCCCGGGTCCTGTGCTGGGGCCAGCAGCCTGTGTGCCGAATTCCCAGCTGTCCAGGGACGGGCAGGCTGGTACCGCGTGGGGACCCCCACCTGCTTCCAAATAAGAGGAGACTTCAGAGGAACAGCCCCTCAGAGATACCCAGAAGATGAGACCAAAGGGTCCAAGATGCCACCGCTGTCCTCACTGGAGCCAGGGCAGGAGAGCACAGAGACCCCAAATGCACCCCCAACAGAGCCTAAGGGGATAGTGCTGGGGCCCTGCAGCCAGGACACAGGTGCGGGCCAGCGGCCAGGCCGCAGCACGTGGAAAGCCAATCACCAAAGGGCCAGGTTTGTGCTCAGTCACTTGCAGGTGAGTCACTCCTCTCTGGGCCTCAGTTTCCCCATGTGCCAAATAAGACCTTTAGCCAAGATGACCTGGAGCTCCCTCCAGCTTTTCAGCGTGTGCTGTAGCCCACCTCCCTGCATCAGGGAAGGAAGCGTGGCGCTTGGGACCCCATCTTGGTGGGTGTGACACCATGGCTTCCTTTCCCTTTCCAAGGGAAAGGAAGCCATGTGTCCTGGCCACAGAGGCAGGGAATGGCAGAGCCAGAGCCCAGGAGAGTGAGGCCCAGGCCTCGGCTCCTCAGCTCTGCCCAACAAGGCGTCAGCTAGAGCAGCACTCCGTGTGCGGGTTTTGGATACGCCTCAAATGACGTTCGTGGCTTCTTAAAAATCCACATGAATTTTACACTTGAATCTTTGTTCTTTTTAACTGTTTGTTTTTGAGACAGGGTCTCGCTGTCACCCAGGCTGGAGTACTGAGGTTCAACCTGAAGGCCCTTTCAGGAACTAAAGCTGCAGAGACCACACCCGCCTGGAGGCCACCGGGATCCAGGACCCCAGCAGAGCGAGGGCTTGCCAGAGGCTGAAGGGTCAATGGCGGCTGGGCGCGGTGGCTCACACCTATAATCCCAGCACTCTGAGAGGCTGAGGCAGGCGGATTGTTCCAGCTCAGGAGTTGGAGACCAGCAAGAGCAAGACCCTGTCTCTACTAAAAATAGAAAGAAATTAATTGGCTAACTAAAAAAATACACACACACACACACACACGCGCGTGCACACACACAAATTAGTCGGGCACAGTGGTGCATGCCTGTAGTCCCAGCTACTCTGGAGGCTGAGGCAGGAGTATCGCTTCAGCCCAGGAGTTTGAGGTTGCTGGGAGCAAGGCTGATGCCACGGCACTCTAGCCTGGGGACACAGAGTGAGACTGTGTCTCAAAAAGAAGAAGAAAAAAAGAGTTGATGGCCTCACGGCAGGCCATGCCCATGGAAGAACAGTCTCCTCTGTGGTGTCACATCAGAGCTCTCTGGCCTGTTTCTTCTTGTAAACTCCTCCAAATGGGTGGGTTCCCTTCAGGAACCAGGCCGCTGCCTGGGCAGAGGGGCAGGCCAGGGACGCAGAGCCAGGATTGGGGGGCAGTGTGGGGGGAGCTCTTCAAAGCTTTCAGTGGGAGATTTCAACTTCTACAGGTTCCTAACCCAAGACCGCCAAATCCCACTGGGACTGATCTGTGCTGAGGCCTGACCGTCACTTGGGCGCACACATAGGCCCGGTCTCTCGGCGCTCCCAGCAGGGGCAGCCGCGGGCTCTGACTGTCACAGCGACAGCAAGGGTTACTCGTGGCACCAGCACCCAAGGACAGCGCTGACCAGCCCAGGCCTGGACAGGAACCCGCCCAGGGCCCTGGGCACCTGTGTCCTCACATGGGTAATGCGGCTTGGGGCCTCCATCCTAAAGCAGAAATAAAGAAAAATACAGAATGGAAAAAACACAAAATATCCAAAATTCAGAACGTCAGTCTCAGGCTCACGTATGCAGAGGCAGTGAGGACCAGCTGGGGCATCAGCGCCGCACCCAGGAGGGCGGGCCTAGGCGCCTGCGACTCGGGGACAACTCACGAAGCAGACTCGTGTGGCCGTAACTCAGAAACCAACAGGCGCTGAGGACAGGCGGCCGGGGCCCAGACCGGCAGCCTGCGGCTGGCTGGTGAGACACGAGGGCACTTCCTCCTTCCCTCCTCTCCCGTCCTTCCCACGATTTATGTAACAAGCACGTGCCACATTTATGTAGTGGGGAAGGTTCGTTGTGTTTCCTTGTAAAAGAGCCAGAACTAAGACTGCTTTCTTGACACATCGTTTTCTTTACTGATCTGCCCCACTTCTCACTGAATCAGCGTCTGGCCTAGCGTGGCTGTGCCCAAGCTGGCATCAAGTGGGCCCACCAGCGAGGCTGAGCCACCTGTCTCCAGGGGGAAGCAGCCCTGAGCCTCAGCCGCCAGCCACGGGGAAGGGCAGGGCGGTTTCCAGCCAGCAGAGGGGTCGGCACCCAAAGCTGTCTCCTCGAGAGCAGTGAGTGAGCAAAGGGGGGGCTGAGCCCATGCCTCGGGCACCCCCACGAGACCCCAGACCAGCAGTCCCAAGACGGAGGGAGGATCCACGGCCAACCTGCCTGGACCCCAGTGACACGCCTCCTGAAAGCAGGTAGGCCAGGTCCCGTGCACCCTCCCCAGCTGGTTTCTGGCCAGGAAAGCCATGGTCAGAGCTGTGGAGAGAGCCCCGGCCGCTCTGCCAGGCCACGGTCAGACCCTGGCAACAGCTCTCTGCACCCCCACACTGCTGCCTGGCAGAGCAGAGCACCTGTTGTCCCCCAGGCCACGTCCCTCAACACAGCCACTTGCCCTGAACACGCAGTGGGGAGTGAGGGTGGCACACGTGAGGCCTCACACAGACCCTGTGCTGAGATCGATTCCGCTGCACGTCCTGCGCTGGCCCTGTGAGCTTCCCACTGGTCACACCCTGATGTTCACAAGCACGAGCACCCCCATGCTGCGACAGAAAGGGCTCGGCCACTGGAGCAGAATTAAAATTAAGAGAGTTGAGGGTGAGCCAAATGTGGGAGATAAATCCTGTCCAATTTCCCCACTGAAATTTAAACGCAAAAGCAAAGAATTTTCTGGAACCAACCTAGTTAGAAATACTTAGTTTTCACTCCA